ATTGAAAAGATGCTGATACGACAGAAAGTTATCCCGCTAAGCGGTAAAGTTGTGTTCATGCATATGGGAAAAACATGCATTATCCCGGTCACCGAGATCTGGCTTGTCAACAAGCGAGATCTCGGTACACGGGAAAACTTTTTGTCTCATATGAACGCAGTGTAACTTTTCATATTATTTTCATACCAAGGCAAGATCTCGTTTGTAAATTTGTCGAAAAGTTTTCTCGCTAACCGGGATAACTTTTGCCCATATGAGCCTTAAAGTACTTTTCTAGTATTGAATTGGTTTTTTTCCTCGATTTTCGGCTCATATAATACTCTTCTTCGTTCCAATAAATATAAATATATAATTCTATTTCTGTCGGACATATTTATTCTTTAAAATATACCGTCGTAAACGGAAAGTAGAGGTGCCGTTTTCCGATGGGCACGGTGCCTATCATAAAAGTGTGTTTACAAAATGTTGCCGTGTAAACGAGTAAATAGCGAAGTGGCGGTTTTGGCACGGTGCCCATTTTCAGGGGTGCCGTGCCCAAAACGCTTGTCGTGTAAACCGGCCTTATATTTGTAAATACACAGGCAACTTCTCAACGCATTGAATACAAAAGGATATATTTTAGTATATTTTTGAATCTTTCTGAATTCGATCAGTGTTTAATTTAAAATACCGTTTGGGGGGCGGGGGGTTAAGGGGCCCACACTCATAATATCGGCCACAGGCCCCGTGAAATGTTAACAAATCCGACCTTGGCATGTAACTTTAAGGTTACAGGACACCTTTTTTGGCGTTTTGCGGAAAATCGCTACTGCGCGCTCAATATCAGTTCGATTTTCATCAAATTTTCACCAAATGTTCTCCAGTGCATGCAAAATATGGTAAAGTTGTAAAATTAACAAACAATAAAATAATGTAAGAATTATTCAGGAAAATCTTAAATCGCGGTACCGTTACGCTTTTGAGTTATGTTCCTGCTGGTTTTAAGTTATATTTATGAAAATATAATTTTTATACAGTAAAATAGTTGTTCTAAAAAATCGTGTTCGGAAATTTTTGTTTATTTCGTCATTCCGCTGATATGGCGATTTCTTTGACGACTGCAATATATTTCTGAATTGTTTTAGTAAATTGCTCTTTATTTTTAAAATATTCAAAATTAAAAAAAAGCCGAACACGATTTTGAAACTGACGTCTTTAGCTATGCCCTGTGAAAATTTGAGAAAAATTGGTTAAAACCCGCGGGAGCATAACTCGTTTGAAAATCAGTAATTACCGTAAAATTTTTCGGGAGAAAATTGAATTTGAATATTACATTTTCAATGTTTTTCTTATTGCAGCGAAATGTATTTTATTAAATAACTCTGCGAGTTTTCAACATTTTCCGTTCAAACTTGGTCAGATAGTAGAACTAGTCTAATGCTTTCATGGAAACCAATAAAAAAATTTTAGGCAAAATTAACACTCAAAGGTGTTCTGTAACCTTAAAAGGGCCAGTGTATATGGAAATTGCGAGTGTGAATTTTACACATTTATTAGAGTAACAATCAAAAGTTGTTTAAAATATTTTCACTCAATTCGAAAATAGGCAACCAAAAACGAGTTTCGAGTTCATCATTATTGATCACTGGGTGTCGAGATAAACAACTTGCGTGTCCCCACTTGTGATGTATCATATGCATATCCTCCAAAACTCAAAGATGCATTTCAAAAATCAGGCAAGATATGAAAAATTTGTATTTAAATGTTCTTTCAAATGAGGCAATATAAAAAACACTGTTGCCATTGTCTTTTAACAGCTGAATTAGCATTTCTCACGCCGCCATTTTGGGGTACTGCCTTTTCCAAATCTGAGATTGTACGCAGTGAATAAGAGATTTGTATAACTATAATTGTGAGTATAATCATTATAAGTTAATTTACACTTACAGTTAAACATTTGAAAAAATGTTTTCACATCGCTTAGATTTCTCACGTCGTTTTCAAAAAAGTACCCCCAAAATGGCGAATTTGGCTTTCGTGAGAAAGGCTAATTGCCAAATTGGGCCCAAACGAATGAAGTTCTTATAATATTAAATCGTATTAATTTAAAGTTTGTATATCTGAAACGGACATTAGAGAACAAAAACGTATTGTAGCACGCGTATATTGGTTACAGTAATACGGAAACTTAATTTGTTTTCAAGTTCCTTGAAAGCTTGCATGACGATGAAACAATATCGTTTGTGGAAAACACCATTTATTATTGTAATAATTAATATAACGTGCGTGATTTCCACAAACTCAAATATGTAACTGTTTTTTTAATATATAGCGGACGTTATTACCGGCAAATTAAGCAAGTATCTATGAAAGTATAAAAAGACACCAAAAACATTTTTTTAAAAAAGCGTGTTGTTGAATTTATAATTTTAAATCGTATCAATAATACGATTTAAAATAATCATTCGACGAACTGTTACACTTACAGAACAAAAACGTTTTGTAGCATGCGGGGTATATGGGTTGCAGTAATATACGGAAACTTCCTTGTCCTTGAAAGCTTGTGAGTTCTGGAAAACATCATTTGTTATTGCAATAATTAATATACGTGGTGTGATTTCCACAAACCAAAAGATATAATTGATTTATAAAATACCGGACGATATTACCGGCAGATTAGGAAAATGCCTATAAAAGTATAAAAGAAACAATTCACCAAAATATTTGTCTAAAAAGAAAGCGTGTTGTTGAATTCCGTTGAAGCTCTTTCTTCTTAAACAGCTGTTTCTTGGTATAGAACGATTTAAACCTACGCATCAAGACAAGAGACGCTCTTATCTTCATATCAGCATGTTGAGTCACATGTTTTTCTCTTCGTGTTAATATTGGTTGTCTGTATGTTCATTTACATGAATGTTTGGCGCGAATACAGCATAGTTTCCACCTACACACACAATTAAAAACACACAAGTTGCTACAGGTCTGCAAACAAGTTGTTACAAATCTGTTCACAAGCTGTCAACAAGTTGTGTTCGCATTGCTTGTTCCCAGTTGTTGTCACAAGTTTGGAACAAGCTGTTAACAACTTAATTGTAACAAGCTTGATGACATCAAACTTGTTACAAGGTTGTTCTAACAAGTTTGATACAGTCATGATAATAACAAGAACGTTACAAGGTTGACGACACAAGGTTCTAACACTATTGTTGTATCATGACTCTATCGGACTTGTTGGAACAACCTTTCAACAAGTCTGATATCAACAAGGTTGTTACAAGTTAATGTTAACAGCTTGTTCCAAACTTGTTGACAACTTGGGAAAAGCAATGCGAACACAACTTGTTGACGGCTTGTTGGCAGACTTGCTACAAGATGCGAGATTTTTACGCGTGTACTCTGGTTCACTCCTGTATGCAGTACACACGCAAAATTTCACATCTTGTAGCAAGTCTGGCAACAGGTTGTGTCCGCACTGCTTGTCCCAAATTGTCAACAAGATTGGAACAAGCTGTTTTAACACTGTTAACAACTTGTAACAACTTTGTTGATATTATCAGACTTGTTACAAGGTTGTTCCAACAAGTCCGATACAGTCATGATATAACAATATTGTTACAACCTTGTGTCGTCAACCTTGTAACATTCTTGTTATATCATGACCGTATCGGTCGTATTAGAACAACCTTGTTACGACAACTGTGAACAAGCATGCAGTGCGAACACAACTTGTCGACAGCTTGTGGGTTTGTTTTTAACAACTTGTTTGCAGACCTGTAGCAACAAGGGATGGATCTTACTGGACCTCTGGGCAGAGGCGTAGCCAACACCAAACGAGCGGGGGAGGGTCTAATTGGGGGCATGGTCCACCTCCCCACATTCCCCCCAACTGTTGAGAACTGATAGAATTATCCAGTATAAATAAAGTTAGTTTAGCTTAGGTTTTCTCCTGTAAACTGCTCAGCACTAAAAGATGGCTCTTACTACGAAGAAGATTTCATGTTAAAAATCTTGCAGCTAAATTGCACAGACAGTAGGCGTTCATTATCACCAATGACTAACTGCTAAAAAATCTAAGGCATTTTATTGTAACCGTATATTAATTACTTTAATTGCTATAATTTGCTGTACAGAAGTGACTAGCCATATTAGGCTAATGGAACAATATAATACTGTACAATGCGTTGAATGACGCTGCAACGGAAAAATCAAATTAGAATTTATACAAGACAGCTACCACACAGACATATACATTGACGTCATTGCATGGAACATATATGCATACAACAGTTTCGAGTTTATCTAGTATTAAAACTCGAAACTATCAATTACACTAAAGTTTAAACCAACAAAGAAGATACTATATTTCATATGCATACACAATGTTTAAATAGAAGGAAAGATTGGGGGATAAGTATAGTTATTTCAGCTTGAGAAAACTGTAAACTATATATATTGGCGTATTGTAAAGTTAGTAGGGAAGTTGTTGTATTTTTTCAAGTAGTTGTAGCCTATCCCTATCCATCCGAAACGTTCGTATTATTGACACTAGTCACTACTTCCACTCGCACAGACCATTGTAAACTAGCTACAGCTATCACCGAATTCCATTATTACAAATATTTGGCTAAGATCACATCAACATTACAAGTCGAACGTTCGTGATAAGAGGCATGTCGCATGACAGCCTTGGCCTGCCTGACCTAGGCTAGGAAATCCTTGGCCTGGCCTAACCCAAGCCTTGTGGCAATATATCACAATGTATCAGAATTACCTTGACTCAGACCATGAATGGAGCTCCCAGTGCAAACACAGCTTTACAAGAGATATTTTTCATGCAATATTTCACTCAGCCTCAGGGCCATATATGCTATTTTTGTTAAAACTACCTGTATAAAAGGGTTTTTGGATTGTGAAGATTATTTTGGTTCATATAGCTATAGTACCTTTTTCAGTTAAAATTCCTATTTTAGAGTTGAAGTTACATATGATAGTTGAATCTGCCAATATCAGTTGTTTATTGATTATAATCCCGATCCCACGACATTGGCAAGAGCTGATACACTATTATGTTCAATATTACCAAATTATTTTATGCGACGTGGGCTGAAATTCCTGCTGCGTCGATTGTTCTAGCACGTAATTTTCGTATTCAGCTTAAGCCCCGCAAGACATTCCAAGCTCTAGATTAACAAAATAAAGGTTTGCATTTCGAGTGTTCCAACCATGATAGTGTTGGGAAGGCATTAAGAACAGCTAAACAAAATCTCGTCACTGCCAACTCTCCGGTGCACTCTCATATATCCGTTTGATCCGGGCTTTTCACTTAATTCATAAAATTCCTTGCAATTAACCTCGATGAAATTAATAACAAGTTGTTATCAATGAAGAAATTTAAGAAAAACAACAAGTCAATATGCTTACTATAAACCAAAGAAGAAACAGAATGCCAAATGGTAAAAAAATGCTGACCCAAAAATTGTGTGTTTATAATCACTTTTCGATGAATAAAACCACATTTAAACTTAAAGGTAGATGGATTGCGAGTTTTCGATTACGTCTGAATCATCTACTCAGGGACAGGGTAACAACAGAAACTTTTGTACCATATGTGGTTATGCAAAGTCGAAAATAATCTATACATCATTCTTGTTCGGCTCTTCAAAAGTCAAGAACAAAATTGTATAATTGCTGTGACGCACCCACGAGACAATCTTAAATTTAGGGTGACGAGGAAGGTGGCCATATATCAATTTAAAAAAAGACTTTTTGTACGCGACCTTGGTTGGTCTTCTATTGATGCACGACTCACCAAACTACACCCATCTTTATAATAAATACGTAATTAGACACAACATGCCGGGCAAAACAGAATATAATTTATTTAATTACCAACGTAAACAATATACCATGCAGCAAAAATTTTAATATACTACAATCATGGAACAATTACTTTGGGACAAGTTGAAAACGTTTATTACTTGAAAAGAAAGTAGAATATTTCGGCTTACATTCATGGTGCTCCCCCCCCCCCCCCCACCCCTCCCCCATACAATGTTGGTTCAAGAACATATGATATTCACGGAGATTGCACAGCATTTTGCGATAGGAAATAGCCGGAGAACCATGTATGAATGTAAGATCTGCGACAATAGTTTAAAAGCTGCCTGTAATAGTTTTCTTCTTATAGATATTACAATGCTGTTTGAGTAACACTTTAATAGTGATTGTCCCGATTAATTATTCTATGCATGATTGTAGCTATATACTTTACAGGCAGTAGATTCAGCTATAATGTATATAATATTAATGTAAATTCTTAACTATCTTTTCAATCAATATAGTTATAGAGTTAGCTTTGATAGAGGTTATTTGGGTTATCATGTTTAAGATAGTTTCTTATATAGGGCTATTATTAGTAATTTATTACAAGAGTAATATTGCACCGGGTAAAACGCCCCGCAAAATACAGGAAATAGCGTTTCTGAGCCTTACGCCTGTATTCTAAAAGCTCACTCACACTCAATCAGTGGAGGTTTAATCTGAGCTTCTCTTGAGTGTCAATGCTGTTTTTGAATAGCTGGAGGGTAAGTAGTCACAAGGTAAGGTACGACACTAGCCCTCCAGCTATTCAAAAACAGCAATGACACTCGAGAGAAGCTCAGATTGAACCTCCACTCATTAAGTGTGAGTCTGAGTAAGCTTTTAGAATATGGGCGTTAGAAAATTTTCCGGGGAAGTATGCCCCCAAATTCGCTAGTCCAGGATCTATACAGATCAAGATGTACTATAAAGGGTCGGTATAAAAAAAACTGAACAGATTTGAAATTGCTCTTAATTTCGCAAAACAGCTACTAGTATCCAGTTTTTATGTATATGGTTTCTTTGGGTACTTATGATGTAGAAAAATAAAAAAAATTTCACGAAAAATAAAAAAAATTTCAACTCAAATTTTGTGACCAAGGAAGTGTGTCTTTTCCAACAAACTAAAAAAATATTATTAAAGCTTTTAAATTTCGTGCGCAAGCCATTTTTAGTTTGTTGGATAAGACACCCCCCCTGGTTCACAAAATTTGAGTTCGAGAAAATTTTTTTATTATTCTACATTATAAGTACCCAAAGAAGCTATATATGTCAAAAACTGGATACTAATAGCTGTTTTGCGAAATTGAGAGCAAATTCATATCTGTGAGTGTTCAGTTTTTTTTGTTACACCCTGTAGAAGGGTTTTGTAGATGGAAATTTCGAGTGTGAATTTTATACATTTATTTAGACCTAACCAGGAACAGTTGCGAAAAATGCAACTATAAGTCCTCTGGCAGAATCGAACCTGCAGCCCTGTGATTCCAGTGCAGCGCTCTAACCAACTGAGCTACAGAGAGACAGTTGTCGAGCTCTAACCAACTGAACTACAGAGAGACAGTTGTAGAGCTCTAACCAACTGAACTACAGAGAGACAGTTGTCGAGCTCTAACCACTGAGCTACAGAGAGACAGTTGTAGAGCTCTAACCAACTGAGCTACAGAGAGACAGTTGTCGAGCTCTAACCAACTGAGCTACAGAGAGACAGTTGTCGAGCTCTAACCAGCTGAACTACAGAGAGACAGTTGTCGAGCTCTAACCAACTGAGCTACAGAGAGACAGTTGTCGAGCTCTAACCAACTGAGCTACAGAGAGACAGTTGTCGAGCTCTAACCAACTGAGCTACAGAGAGACAGTTGTCGAGCTCTAACAAACTGAGCTACAGAGAGACAGTTGTCGAGCTCTAACCAACTGAGCTACATAGAGACAGTTGTAGAGCTCTA